TTGTTTGTTTTTATCTTTATCTCCTTTGACTTTATTTTAAAATTTTTTTCATGAACTTTTAAACTATTTTATTATTTTTACATTTCATCGCTGTACATCTGCAGAGCACACAAAATGAATCTGCCCACATAAATCCACTGCATGTAAGTCCAGTCACGGACACTCCCATGCACATTATTATCCACAGGGACCTTTCTAGTTTTGTGTCCAGTAGCTTTTTTTTTTTAAAAAAAAAATTGATTCTCTCCCTCTCGGCCCCCATTGCCTGCCCCTCACCCACACTGGCTCTGGTACCCACACTCATTCCCCATGCTTCTACACCTGCCAATCCTTCTGTTTCTGAATTCCAAATCAGTCTTCGCTCCAGGCGTGTCGTTTGTCTGTCTGTTTGTTTTTGACTGTAATGAATATAAACTCGAAGCAGATTTTGAAATTAGAAAGCATTCAGGGGAAAAGTCCAAGATAGTATTTAATTTTGTGAAAAAGAATAATCTGTGCTTTTCTTCTAACCTTTTCATGTACGTATATGTATATCCTAGTTTGAATGAATCAGTCACATTAGAAAGTATGGGGATAAAATGCACACTCATTTAGTATATGGAATGCACACTGATAGGTAAAAATTTTAAAAATACAGTGAGATGCTATTCTTGTCAAGGTAATTCTTTTTTTTTTTTTTTTTAAGAGAGATTTTGGTATAAGGCACATGGACCCATTGGAGACACAGAGAGACAAAAAGAGAGAAAGCGAGAAATCACCACCCTGGGGGTGGCCATGCCACAATCCCTTGTCCTCCATTCTCCTCTCAGGATTCAGGATTTTGGGCACGCACACACACGCACCTGGTGTTGAGTGTCAAGGAACCAGGTCCAGGACTTGAACTGCTGTCGACCATATGGGAGTCCACTACCTGCTGGCCCCTGTCAAAGTAATTCTGCCATTTCTCTTTGAAGTATGTGAACCTGACCATGATCAATTCACGTGCTTATAAGACGCAACACATTTTGTAGAAATGTGTTATTAAATGCTGTTCTTATTTTATCCTCATACCAATTCTCCTTACTTTAGATTCCCTGCTATCTGTAAATATGTAACTGCATGTTTATATATGTGTGTGTTTCTATAGATATAATACATATGTAGGTATATTATATACACGTGTAACCTTAAGAAAGCTTCGCCATTCATAAAACCCCTGGGACATACAGACTAGGAGCTTACCTGGGGCAGTACTGCCAGGCTGTGCCCTAAAAATGGGACTTCGACAAAATACCTGTTCAAACACATGAACAATCTTTTTAACAAATTAAACAATTTTACAATACTGTAAGATATTAGGAAAGAAAAAAAATCAGACAAGACCAAGATGCCCCAATTTTTCAGCTTTCCTTTATTCTTGGTCATGTTGAAATTTCCTGAGGGACTGGAGTACTGGAATAGGGAGACAATAAGCACTGATCCTCAAATCTGACTTGTGGGTGAGTAATTGGAACAGGTTCAGGAGGAGGCTGTGCACTGCCCAGACCAGGGCGGGACAGGGCTACTGGCATGCAATCAGTTGTCAACCCTTCCTCGGGAGGGCTTGCCTTAGGACATACCCCTCCAGGAGCAGGTACAAGAGCTTAGTCAGATCCACACAGGCTGACTCCCAGACCTTGGGCAGCTAACCCGCACACCCTCAGGGAGGGAGCGGACACTCAGGCCGCGTGGTGGTACGTTTGGGGAGGCCAGACGACCCTCATTTCCACGGAGATCTCTCCAGACTGGTAACACACTGAAAGACCAACAGAGAGAGAGAGAGAGAGCTAGAAAGTAGAGGTCTCCTCTGCAGCCAGCTTTTCCGATTTCCGTTCCCTTTAATGTGCTTTGAAGTTTAAATCACAGCTATGCAACATCAATAAAACTGCAAAATGTCTTGTGGAAACAAATTAAAAATCAGGTTCTTATTATGTGTATATATATGTATGTATGTATCTATTTTTAAATCTAGTTTTTACCTTGGATCTTTCTTCAGTAAACACATATTCAAATTTGTAAACCCTTCTAACTTACAAGGGGGGGGGTCTCCAAAAAGTTCATGGAAAGGCGGCTTATTTAAAAAGTGTAGATTTCAAGCTCTTTGCACCAAAATAAATGGATCCCTTAATGTTTCCACGAACTTTTTGAAGTTCCCATCTTCCCTTAAACAAAACCAAAAAAAAAAAAAAAACAAGAAGTAAACGATCCAACCAGAGTAAACTTTGTGAAGCCAGAAGCGGGTCATGTTCTCTGAGCTTACAAATGCAGTAAAGGCAGGAATGGGAAAAGCTGTCTTTAGAACAAATCATTCCCACTGATCAACAACTGTAAAGGAAGCAACTACAATGAAAATGTATAATTTGATATCAGAATCAGGGGGAAAAGCAAAGTGGGAAGTGTGAGGGCCATGTATGAAGACATGGAGGGGAGCGTGGGTGGGGCAGCGGCGAAGCCACTTCCACTTCCGTTATCCACGCAGAAACAGCTTAGCGGTGTGACAGGAGCGCGAGGTGATAGAGATCTTAATGGAAATTGACTGGTAGAAACGGAAAGTGGGGAAATACACTAGGAAGGGAGGGATTCACGCCCAGTGTAAGCCTTTGGATTCCCTGGCTGCAAGGTTTTAAATGGCATGCCTTTTATCTTTGTGAATTTCAATTAGACTCTGCAACTGGGCAAGTGCCGAAAGGAATATTAATGACGGAGGAGAAAGCTGGGTGGCGTGCCATTCTTCACAGAGCCTGCTAAAGGAGACCAAATGTTTGTTTAGACTGTAGCATACCAAATGCTCATCCAGAAAGGGGTGATTAATCGGTTAAAAAGGACATCTTGAAATATTTACAGTGTAAGGGTTTTACTCTCCTCACCTAATCTTCGAAACTAAAGCTAAAATTTACTTGGAGATTAGGAGTGCCTGTTTTTACAAAAACCACACCATCCAGGAAAACCATCTGAATTTTTGGTGCATAACTAACAAAATTGATGTATTTGGCACATATTGACTCAATGCCGAATGACACAAACATACCAGCGGAGTTTTATCATTATTATTAATGTTTCTTTTACAGGGTCTAACGTTTGTAACAACTTCTGGGCTACAAAACCAAGCTCTGGGTTGCCGTAACAGCGTGCGTAACGTTCTGTCTTACGTGCAGTACGAAAAGGAAAATGTCTTTTCTTGTTCAAGTTTCACGTTTGGATTTTATCGTCTCGGATAAAATAGAGAAATGAGACAGATCAAACACACTAGGCCCGGGTGCGCGATGGGACTGGAATGGCAAGTTCCTCTGTCAGCAAAATGCCCCCGGGGAAGACCTGGACTCTTGCTCCATCCCCCAGGGGACTGCAGGACCAGGGCCGCGGAAGCACAGCAGGTCCCTGTGCTCAGGGGTGGGTAAACTTTTCAGAGCTGTGGATAGGAGCTGGCCGCCTAGTCCGGAGCAGCCTGTGAGAGAGGCTGGGGTTCCTGAAAGTGCCTGAGGCCCCCAAGGAGTGCCATCTGCAAGTGGACTTCTCTGACTGGCTGAGGGAGGTCTGCAAGCCCCCGGAGCTGTAGGGGAACCGGTCCTGGTGGCCCAAGTGCGGAGGAGGGAGCGGGAGATCAAGAGGGCTCAGGGGACCAAGGAAACTTCCCGGGGTTCGAGTCCTCGCATCACGCGTTGAACCCGGCCCTGCGTGGGTGCGGATGGCAGGGGCGGCGCGCTGAGC